CACAGCACCTCCCACATTTAGCTTCATGTCTGAATGCTTTTCCACACCTATTTTAACTCGAATCTTGGCTTTAATTGCTTTGTTGGCTTTCGAAACCACGAAAAATACTTCCATTTTGACATAGTCCTAGACCGTTCCTTACACGAACAAATTGGATGAAGATGCGACGACAACGAAAGAATCGGAACCTAGACTCCACAGAGAAAAATTACTCCTTTCAATATATCTTTGTCATCACACATATGTTTCACAGTTCTAGTCTGTTTATCAAGTCGACCTTCAGAGTTATCCAAAACAATTTTGACCAGTTGCAACATCAGAGTTTGTACTGTTTTCTGGCGGTAGTTCTTATTCATTAGTTTTGAAAAATGCAACGATTATGCGCAATGTAATAACTGAAGCCACGCTTCAGGATCGAATAGGTGTGGTTTTCGCACTAAAATGAAAGCGTTGGTGATATAAGGGATATAGGTCGGCAGTAAAGAAAAAACAAAAGAAGATGCTATAGCTATAAGCTGGCACACTTTATGCTAAGACAGTGACAGCGTGAGCACAGAGGTTAGGCGAGTGAGCACAACGAGTGAGAGAGCGCAAAGCCGCAGCATGCACGTAGAGCAGGCCGCAAACGAGAAAAAAAATCATGGAAGCGGTAAGAGTGGTTAACGATATTGAGCGATAGAGCGTTAGAGCGATATTGAGAAAAAAGGCAACAGTAAGGGACGACAACTATTACAAATTTAAGCGACGGAGTTGTTCTCTTTTGCCTCACCTGCTCAAAACCGCCAAGAACAAGCTCTTTTCTATGTTCTTGTTTGTTTTGTGGGCACATTTATCATTTAGCTGTGTAGAACTGTCTGGAGAAGGTAGGAAAATCGAAACTCTGAACTGCCAGCAATTTCTGTGAAATTGCGGTTAACCACAGTGTGCTTAGTCAGAAACTTGCCAGGCCGATTATTCTACATGCATACAACTTCAAGTCTGCGCAAAAGAAGCTCTTTAGGTTCATTCTCTTATTCTTCTCGTAGCTCTGTATGGCAAATTTGGTGCAGTGTCATGCAGAAAACGTACGGATCCTTTTCCTGGGGATCATTACTGGCCAAAGAAAGACCGAGACCTCTGCGACTCACCTAAACAAAGGAACAGTAGTGAGTCACCGTTTTCTTCAAGGAAAAGTTGATGAATTCTTTTTTTAGAACTTTAGCGACGACAGAATTAATGAGGGATAAGAAATTAGGCAAGCCTAACTGTTTTCAGGCATTAGTGTACATTCCAAATAATCAAAACGTTTGCTCAATTCGTACAGAATGCTGTTTATCTAGTGGCACCTAATCATACTTTCGTTTATCAGTGATGCCTCAGGCTTTAATTCTAATGATTTCTAGCGGAGTTGTGCTACACTCACATAATTAACTATCAGAAACTGAATACTGAAGTGATTAGCCGGGATCCAATTCTTCTTATTCTTCACGAATTTATTCCGAAACAGGATGTCGATGAATTTCTTGCTGAGACTCGACATATGAAGATGGAACCCGAGGTTTTTGTTATTGCACGTTGATCTATCAGTCAAAATCTTATGACCCTCTAGAATTTTTCAGCAAGTGGTCAATGTTCCTTCACCCAGAACCATTTTATGACAAGTCAAGGCGCGCAAACGGAACTGCGATTGACGACGAGGAAACCGTAGGAGCAGCAAAAGTCTTCAGAAGGGCCCAAGCAATGATGCCGTTTATTAATTTCGAGTCTAGTGAACTTTGGCAGGTAGAATTTCCATTCTTCTCCACGCTACAATTTCAATCTTGCAAGAGCAATTTTCAAACAAAATTTTCTGAGCAATTCTTGCAAAACAGAGCGAATCATCTTCCTATAACAATTATACATTTCCATTGACTTGAACATACTGCAGGACAAGAATTCATGCACATTTCTTTCGACTGAAAATTTATAGCAAAAGGCTAATCACGGCTATAGGGTATGGAGAACACATCATGCCTGCACACTAGAGGAACTTCTGGGACGCACGCAATCTACATCCATCATACTGAACCAACAATGATGTTGCCGCAAACTTAATTGAAAAGAACCAGGCCTTAAAGGTTTGATTGCCTTGTGTGCCTGCCTGACCATTTATAAGTGCGTTAAATACAATGTAGGTATGTATGAATATTTGTGGTATAAATGCAAGTTCACAATGGCTACCACAGCCTCCTCTCCGACAGGCGTTCGTCTTATTAATGAAAAATAAAGTGACAGAAGACCATCATGAAGATGATATCATCAGTGAATGATTAAGCCTTCCAGTGCACAGATGCATTGCATCTCAGCATAGCTTTAGATTGACCGGCTTATTCCGATTTTAGTCATTCTCATGAGTGACTTATGCCGTGTTCCTTTGGGGGAGACTTGCGAATTACCTGAGAATTTTGAATGACTAAGAAACGAAATCGCAGATTAGGCGCTTTCAAAGTGATGACGACTTTTTTGGAGATTCTCTCTTATCGTGATGCTGGACACTTTGCTCCTCATTATGATTATGTTGAACTCGAAGCAAGGCCTGATCAGGGTGATCCAACTGGACGACGATTTGCAACTTTTCTACTTTTACTTCAAGGAGCTCAAAGCGGAGGAGGTTAGTGGCGACAATGTTAAATAGTTACTTTGCACCGTCACTTTAATGGCCCCTCAAAGGTTCCTCAAAACGGCTTTGTTCCCACTTAGCATATGGGAACAGATTTAATGAGTACATAGTCATTGCAGCGGGAAACTGCTCTGCTGTCGTGTGAGAACTCCAGACGTCTCTTTCTTGTAATACAAGGGAAGGTCACACTATTAGGCTGTCTTATAAGTAGTGTCGTTTTTTTTTCAAACGGCGTGTTCGTTTCTATGTTTTTACATAGCTTCATATACTGTTTGTAAGAAATTTATTTACGAAATATTATGTTCTCCCTCCTCATTCTTTGCAAACCCGTAAAGTCTTGGGTTCGTACATTGAGATACGGAAACTAGGACGACAGACGAGGAGCTCTAACTCTACATATTTCCTCCACATCCATCAATAGTGTCACTTATCAATCAAGTCGTCACTAATCACTCAGCCAGGTTCTCTTCTGAGCATTTCGCTCTAAGGCTTCCAACCAAGACTTGCTGGTCCTTTTCGAACTGGATTTTTCAGGAAAAAATTTCCCCCTGAAGTAATGTGGACCGAACACCTTATGAGGAATTTCTAAAGTTCAACTTAATTCAAAATGAGAATGAAAACAAAAACGACGGAATGAAGCAGAAGAAACTTGACGAATTTTGCATCAATTTATATGAAGCAGTGGGCTCAATAGAGAAAAACCTAGTCCAAGAACAGGTGTGGCTCAACGTAAGTAGAAAACCAGATTAAAAAAAGAAAAGCTTTTTAACAGCCTAATAGTGGAGCAGGCGTTTGTGTCCTTAGAGAGTACAAAACAGGGCCGATGGTAGGTGAAACTAGGACTAAGTTTAGGGGGGGGAGAAACGCCAAGGCTTATTCATTCAAGAGTCGCCTTTCTCTCTCCCTCATCCTAACGGCATGGGCACCGCAAACTGTACCGAAGGGTTTACGGCTAAGTAAAGGGTACATCAACGTCTGACCTTTCCAAGAGGAATATGGAGTGCGAGCTAGCTGTTGGTCTCGCTAATCTTTTTTGACTGGACTTTCCATTTAGCAGACCTAAAATTGAACGACATGTTTTCTAGGTGAAAATGAATTTCTTCCGAGCGATATACAAAATGATGCGAAATCGTGGGAGTTTAGTAGAAGTTTTCCCATCAAAAACAACACTACTCAAGCTCATCGATTCAGTTCCCGCAACAGATTAAAATTAATGTGCGGCAAAATGGCTATAACTGACGCCCACTCATACTTTTGGCCTCAAATTCGGAAAAGAATTTCCCATAGCTCGCGAGATACCTAAACTCACAGCATCTGTTCCTCTTTCCTCTATTCTCCTATATCGTTAATCCGTTGAAAAGAATCTTTATCGCAGCTGATCTAGAGTTGGAATATTGTGTAATATGAGTTGGAATATATACGACATGTTAAAGCTACCTAGCATAGGATTTGACAGGGACCGTATTTCCGAGATTGAAGACTACTGTTACTCCTACACCTGGAGACGTGATTTTTTGGATCAATGTCAATGTTGACGAAACTGAGGTAGGTGATTTTCTGCAGAATCGACTGATTTCCCAAACTCGACTTGCTGAGTTTTTGAATGAACCTCTTGGATGTTAATCAAATGCTTAGTTGTTTAAGAAGTGGTTTTGTCAATAACTTCAATTGTTGAGAAAAACGCGTATTCAGGCACGCGGCAGTTTGCATGGTGGCTGTCCAGTGTATAGAGGAGAGAAGGTAGCAGCAGTGAAATGGATTCTAGTCGACGAACAGGACATATTTCAATCTCCACACGAAGACGGAACATTTGACATCGAGAAGCTTATTTATCCTCACACATATTATTACGATACGACTCCAATGTATGGAAAATGCGTAGCTAAAAAAGAAGCAAGCTTAACGTTTTCTCACAGAGCAGGCACAAATGTTTGACTTATGACAATAAGTAAATGCATTTGAATTTTATAAAAGTCTTCGCTAGTTGATGCGGTAAAACTCCAGGACAGATGTCAATGCAGTCAATTTCTTTGATTTTCTCTAGAAAACATGTAGAATGATTTTATTTCCTAGCTGTCTCAAATATTATATTAACCCACTTCTTCGTTATGTTTCGTTGTGCTTTTTCAGGACTTGACACGACGTACCTTCCTAGACTTCTTCTTAGCAGGCTTAACATGTTTCACTGCTTATTCTCGGTTTCACCTCAAATCACTAGGGAGAGTTCTTCTCCCACTATACAAGTGCGCTAATCCTCCAATGAATGCGCAAATCAACGGGCAAGGAAGGGGTCCCGTTTCTCGGGTTCTGGGCCGTTTTGCATGGTTTTTCCTTCTTTCGTGTACCACTCACCATCTCTAACTTAATTTGAAATGGGTTGCTTTTCCATCGTGAATTCGTCC